TTTACACCCACTCGAAAACCAACTGCTATGCAATACTACTGTCCGATTATCAATTTGTATTTAATGGTGAATGTGTCTGACGCCATGACCAATATTTATCAATTAAGTTTCAGTGGGGGGTAGGGGGGTTTGGAAAAAAACTAAAGGAATTAAGTTTTTTATCCGACATCGATCTTTTGACGTGGTCCCTTAATTTATAAACATATTGATAAAAATAAGGAAATATCTATGATCAGCTTTCATTGAAATATTTAATAGTGATTGGTTCACCAATGTTTACGACTATATCTTGCATAACAATTAAACAAGACTCAACACTTACAGTAAAATACTTTATTTTCGCTTGGAATTAATTTTTGCTATTTTGGCTGAAGGTATGATTCAGTGAAAATAAAATCTAGCAAATATACCGTTTTTCCTATATTTTACATTCAGCTAGTCAAAAATCAGTGAAAGTAAATTCCACACAAAACACCACAAAAGACTTTTCAGAGAAAATTAATTCCAGCTATAATAAAGTATTTTACAGTATTCAAGATGAAGTGCTTGGTGATTGGATGATGTTGAACTAACTTTTTTCTGGGTTAGTCAATTTAAAATCAGCCATTATGATGTATAAATGTTACCAGCTTTCTGACTTTCACTGCAGTAATGCATTGTACAGTTGTAAACTAATTTCAATATACTTTAATTCTATTCAGAATAATGGGAAGAAAACAATGTTCTGGTCTCCAAGAATATATGAAGTTCTAAATACCTACTAAAAAACATTGCACAGCTTGTTCTGTAAAGTTTACAGGTAACCCTTCATTATTCTCCATAGATACTGTAACAGTTTCCGTTAACAATAACAAATAAACAGTGAAAAGAGAGACGTTACAACCGTGTCAGTTAAGCAAATTCCAATTAAACTGTAGACACACATAGCACCATGTATGGACACAATGAAAACCATCAATAAAACAAGTGAAAACAACTTCTGAATAAGAAAAGCATTTTTTTTTTCCTGCAAGGTATAGTTTGATATGAGATGCATACACTGCAGCTTTGGATTACATTTCTAGTACAGGGGAAAAGCAGAATTCAGCAGCATGAGTGAATATATTGACGGTAAAGCAAACAAAATTGCTATGAAAATAATGATGTAAAGGCAAACAATGCTGCAATAAGCGGGGAAATAACAATGGTAAAGTGAAAGTATTGATGGTAATACAGATAATGCTGTCATGGGAGTTGCGCAATGAATGAAATTTGTTTTATAATATGCAGCATTGAAAGAAAGCATTTAGTATATGTATACATTAAACTCATGTGTGTGCCACTATACACCAATGCCCACCCTGATAAGAGTTCTTAAAGTCCCAACCCCCTACCATACCTCTAAAACCTCCAGTGTCTCAAATTTAATTGTATAATTGGGCATATACAAGGGTTGGGGGCTCAAAGAACTCTTTCCGCCCAGCCATTAACAAACATATATAAGTCAAAATATAGATATATACATATGAATATGATTATTAGATAAATAAATAGATAAATATGAGGTTAAAGAAGCAGCCTGCTTTTGTAGTGTATGAAAGGCACATATGAAACAGTACTATAATTAGGGCAATTATCTGTTCATTATTACATGACATTCAGTCAAATAATACAGCAATGACATGAATTGTAATAATGTGTCATGCATTTCAGAGACCTCATTGGATGACATTTGACCTTCACACCATTTGTAACAATGTGTCATGGATTTCAGTGACCCTCATTGGATGACATTTGACCTTCACACCATTTGTAACAATGTGTCATGCATTTCAGTGACCCTCATTGTATGACATTTGACCTTCACACCATTTGTAACAATGTGTCATGCATTTAAGTGACCCCCATTGGATAACATTTGATCTTCACACCATTTGTAACAATGTGTCATGCATTTAAGTGACCCTCATTGGATGACATTTGACCTACCCCATTTGTAATATGACATGCATATAAGTGACCTTCACTGGGGGGGGGGGGCATGAAACAAACTCCCATGAATAATGTTAATAAGGCAGTGATATCAGGGTGGGAAAATATTTGCATAATGATATGCAAAATAACAAACTTTTCTTGTTCACAAATATCAAAGTTACATATCGTATGAATATTTCCACATCAATTAAATTAAACATGTAATCTAAGTTTGATATGGCAGCAATTTGAGATGTTAATAGCAGCAACTCGGGACAAATGAGTAGTTTCTGCAGTGCATCCTGATACATGCTGACAGGAACAATACTACAAACATAATAACATTAATGGTCCTGCAAATCATTACTTTAAACTCATAATTCAAAACAGCCAACAAAGTAGTAACGTTTACTATCTCCATTAATATTGTTATAATGCTGATGTATCATATTTGCATACCAAATTATTAAATGTTTCTCAAGTTTCCGCATTTTGTGCTAGTAGCATACTATTTTGGGAACCTCTATTTATGAATTGCACTGAAGTGAAAGTATTATTATTGAAAAGGTGGTGGTTGTTGCAATCCTAAAATATGCATTCATATTTTGTATAATAAACTACATATTTAAAAGACAGTCAGAACCAACTACCACCCTTTAAATAGCTAATCAGTCATTGTGTCCATGCTATAGTTGAGACAAGTGATATAGATCATGTGACAGCCTCATTCAGAATTCATATATGCGGAAAATGAGCTTCTATTCAGCTCTTTCATAATAATGAACTGTCATGTTTATTTATTGCCTAAAAGATGGTGGTCATCACAACGCCTCATGTTTGCGATGTGAAATATACAACATGTGTCAATTACAAAAGTTAACACATACTGCATAACAACCACCACCCTCTAAAATTAAATGAACGCGATACAGTATTCAACTCCGAATTTAGCTTATTTGTAAACTATCTGCTTGGGAAATTAACGATCTATCTTTAGGGTTATTTCCATTGTACAGCCCAAATTTATTGCCACATTTTGCTTGAGAGAGGCCACTTTTCAATTGTCTTTGAGGAAAAGGATTAAAACTTTTGGATTTTGAATTGGACTCTGAAGGAGATGTTGGGGATATCAATTGTTCTGTACTTTTGGACCTTGTTCTTTTCTTCTTGTCTTTAAGGGAGAAAGTGGCAATTCTTTCTTCCACTGTTTGAACAGGCAGTACAGCAGTCTCATTAGGGTGTTGTGACTCTGAAGATGTATCAATGCTACCACTCCTGTGAGCGCTAACAGTAGTTGCCTGGGTTGCCATTTCCAACAACGTCATGGGTTTCTTGTCCTTGAATTCTTGTGAATGACGATGATGGGGATGATGTTGATGTACCTGCCTTGGTGTTCTATATTGTTGGTTATGTTTGTGATGTGTTCTTAAGGTATGATGATGAATACGTCCATTATGATGCGAACCTTTTCGAACATGTTGTTGTTTTTGGTCCAGTTCGTTTGCCGCTGATTTGCCATTTGTCTGTCTTGAGAGATCTAACAGTCGAGGTCTGTCATTTGGCTTTGCATCTTCTTGGGAGTTTATTTGTTTGGGTTTACCGTTGGTTTTTGTAGCCTCTTCAGTTAGTTTAGCAGCAATGCTTGTAACATCAAAATGAAACTTGTTTGATTGGCTAGTTTTCTTTTTCATATCATCATTTATGCCTTCAAGATCAATCAACACTGCTAACTTTGGTTCTGCAGCCGTAGTCTCCTCAGACACCTCTGTGTTATTCTCTACTTTTTCTATTCCACTGTTATTTTCTACACTAGTGTCCAGTTCATTAGAGTCATCTGATGAACAATCTTGATCCAAATTAGTCTGGTCATCACCACTTGATGAACTCCTTTCAACATTTTCTGTCATGGCAACCTCACTCCCGGTTTCATTTTCATCCATCCCATTTGTCACTTTCTCATTTGTTGCTATGTCAACAGGTGATTCCTTATCTTCAGCCGGGGAGTTGTCTGATGATGAACTTTGCGGAGATGTGGCAATCGTCTTGGCAACATGAGCATTGACATGTGCTCTTATCCTAAGATGGTTTACAGCACTTGCGTGATTTTGAGTTGGTGATGCTATCCTGGGACCAATCGTTACTCTCTTATTCCTAGCACCAAGCCCTGGAACAAGAATAAAAAGAATTAGATTCATGAAAAAAATATAATTTCTCAACAACGTAATGAAGCATGAGTGTTAATCACAGCAATAAGTATTCGGCATTTTCGTAGAGGTTAGTTATACAGTCTTGCTAAATAACATCATTTTTAATTACACAAAATATGAAAACAATATTTTAGAATTATATAGTTCTGAAGGGAAATTTAGGTTAGGGTTTGAATACAAACTGTAGGTTAGATAATATAGCTTCAGTTACATTTCAGAATTATTCAGTGTTTAAGACATTTTTATTAATTTATATTAATTCAGCCGTGTAATGACACCTCATATCAAGGTATGAATATAGATATATGCTTCACAACTATCATTTATGAGTGAATGCAAATATGTTTTTATTAGATAAATTTATTTTATCTAAATATCAAATTAACAAGCTATAATTGTGATATAGTGTCATATGACAGTGTGTTCCACAACACACAGGAATATGGTGTGTGGCAAAGCATGGTCTCTCTCACACAGATACAAAATTCATACAAGATAGAGATTTAGTTTTCACTAAATTGTAAAATTAAAATCAACCTTACCTTTCTTGCCAACAAATAAGTGATTCATCACAGGTGGTTTTTCAATATGTGGAGTAATATTCTTTCTCACCATTTTTGGCCTCGCATCTGAACAAATAAATAAGTGAAATATGACCTAACATGAGACTTGAAATATGACCTAACATGAGACTTGAAATATGATCTGACATGAGACCTGAAATATGACCTAACATGAGACTTGAAATATGACCTGACACGAGACTTGAAATATGACCTGACATGAGACTTGAAATATGACCTGACATGAGACTTGAAATATGACTTGACATGAGACTTGAAATATGACCTGACATGAGACTTGAAATATGACCTGACACGAGACTTGAAATATGACCTGACATGAGACTTGAAACATCATCAAACTCAATTCATTAATACTATTAAGACATTTATGTACATATGTGCATGTCTAATAAGCAAATGTGTGAATGTGTAATACCCAACCCTAATTTTTGACAAAATATATTTTGAACAATGTGCTTCTCTAGAAAAATGCTAATCAGCTCGAAATATGCAAATTAATCTTACCAACTTGGGTGTCTGTTGGTTTAACAGATGATCCGGATCCATATATGACATGCGCTTGTTGCTGTCGCTCCTGAATCCTCCAATACTGCCTTTTTAGTGAGTAAATATCTAATGACATTCTTTCCAGCATGGATGAAGAAATTTTTTGACTGAAACTCATATCACTACTGGATGAGAAGGCACCGGGACTCACGTTTGTGATGTCATTACTGCTTCCAATCTCACCTAAAGAACACATCAGTAACATTAGTCATATTTTCCATATCCAACATATTTTCCCTGCTTTTCAGACATTTTCTTAATTGCGTATCCAAAGGTAAATGTAACTAATGGTAAGTGTGAAATACAAAAACACATAGATATAATCATAGCATATAACGCTTCCCCTCCCCCTACATTGTGAAATACAAGCCTTCCTGTACTGCACAACTCCTGGGGCAATTAAAGTACATACTGTAAAATATTTTATTTTAGCTGGAATTAATTTGGTGTTTTGTATGGAATTTATTTTCATTGATTTCTGACGAGTTGAATGTGAAATTTAGGAAAAGAGGTATATTTGCTGAATTTTATTTTCACAGCGAAATTTAATTCCAACCGAAAAATGTATTTCACAGTAACCCATTAGTGGTTTTATATGTGATACCACTGATCATTTTAGTACACAAGTAGACCATTCTCCAGTCTGTGGTATCAAGGAAGACATGAAACCTTCTTACATTATTATCTATATTAAAATGCTAATGTTCCAATTACTTCCACCACACAAGTGGAAAATACATTTCAACGATTCATGACTCAATTGAGCTGCAACTGCCATGTAAAAATTAAATGATGAAAAATTAATTTTATTTTAATGTTATTTATTTGTAACGTGCCAGTTAAATATTCTATATCATGGCTTGCTAACTACCTGACAGTGAGATTCCAATAACAGCCTTTAGAAAGCCTTTCATGGGCATTTTTATGGCAAATTATAAACTATAACACGTTTACCCTGAAAGACACTTATGTTATGTTCAAATCCAAAGATGAAGCTTTCATTGGATATGGAAGCCATTTTGTGAGACCCATTACCCATAAGGCTTTATGGGTTGCCATGCACACAAAAGATATTCCATACGGGTGGTTAACATCATTGAGTTGTCATGATTGGTTAATTTTATTCAACTGTGAGTGTCATTTAAAATTTATATAGTAAACACATTTTATATTAAAAAACATTCATGTCTATATGAAACAGAATGTAATTCAAAAATTTAATTTTTTAAAATTCAAAAATATTTAATATAGTACTAAATTAATTCAAATCCCAAATTTAAGACTGATACATGTTGAGATGATGAACAAAAGTGTTTAGTAGGTACATGTATACTGGGATCATTGAGCGCCCTCTACAGTTGATAGTCACAAATATAAAGATGAGCAATTCTCGGGGGCGGACATCCGGGCATTTTCTACCGCCTGGCAACCCTTGCGGTGAAAACAAAGACCAAAAACTCGCAGAAAACGGTACTTTGCGATGGTTGTTGAGAGTCCCCTGAACAGTGTAACAAGATTAGCCCTACGTGTGTAACATATATGAATTTGGTTGTTCAGGATTACTTCAAAGTTGAGTTTGTGTTGTTTTCTCGAGTTTTCACCGGCTCCACCGGCGTTCCACAGCAGCGCGCACAGAGCCCATAGAAATACGTGGTACAGTGGTGCGCGTCTTAGCAACGTAGAACGTCCGTGACGTAGCTCCGCCCCAAGGATAGGACTTGGCCGACTCTGCAATGAGCGCCCTCTACAGTTAATTGTAACAAACACAACAGGCACCTTCTGTATTTACTATTCTAACATGCAGGCATGCCCTTTACCATACTGACCATTTTCTAATTTCCTCTGTGGTGACGGTGGCATAAACACGCCAAAGCAATTGATGGCTTGCAAATCATCTTCATCCAAATCTATTTCTTCATCACTAGTAACACTTCGTCTGGGCTTTTCTTTGTTTTTCACAGATTTTTCCAGTGTACCCACTGGTGTAAATGGAGTAATGCTGTACATGAACTTTTCACGAATTTCATCAAGATGAGGAAACGGGAAAGGCGCCATATTGTAAATTGTCTGAAAAATAATAAAAATTACGATATTCAGATAAATATTGATAAATTACATTAAAAACTGCAAAATTAAATTATTACACGTTTTTTCAATTTCTGTCCTTATCCATTGTATGTGCCCAGTTATGCAAAACACTGAAAAATATCCATTATTTAAACTAGCTTTCTCAGAGAGAATTAAAAGAATATATAGATACCTGTATGAGTTCATCTCCACTAACCAGTCCTATATGTAACATTTCATGTGTTAAGAATCCCATTGAGGTATAGAAATCATCAGCTGATTGGCAACCTTCTATACGACTGAAAAAATACAAATATTGTGATTAATAATACACTTAATAATTGACAAAGACTGATTTAGTTGACTTTCTAAGCAGAGTGACACTGTATATTTCCAGTTTACTTTTGTTTGCCAGTTCCTTGTACCAGTGATAAGATTACAGTACGTGTTGCAAGTATTTCAACGTTACAAGACCATACACATGTAATGTACATCAAATCAATCAATAATAGATGGTTTCCTATTAGATTGTTGTTGCAGGAATACAGAAATATCAAGCCCTGCTAGTCACAAGGTTTTACCAATTACATCAATAAAAACAATTATCGTGATATTTTTTCTTTATTAGTAGTACATGCACTAATGTACATGTAAATGACTGTGGTGTAGAGAAAAAAATAAGTTGTGATCAAGCTCACAATTGAAGATGATTATTATTATTATTATTATTCAAAGATTACTAGAATTGTTATTCTTGGTGAAATAAAAATCATATCATATCATATCACAATTGACAATCATGTTCCATACACATTTATGTATAAACAATTCTGAGAATTTTCCACTGCTATATTGACATTTAAATTAGGAATATAAAATTACTTGATAGGGAAAAAAACAAAACAGAGAAAAATATCTTAGAACTTACTCTCCTAGTTTGGCCCAGATCGCAAGTGCTGTCCTCAGTAAGATTTCACTACCTTCCAGGAATACACAGTCCCAAACTCTTAGTACAATTGGTTTTGGAAGACATGTGGCAAACAGAGTCAGGAACCATTGCATAGTAAATACATTGGTGAGTGGAGGTTCATAGTGACCTACAAACAAACAAACAAACAGTAACTGACAAGCAGTATTCAGGCATGTACATGGAATTACGGGATATCTGTACAAGTATTAAATCCTATAAAGTGCATACGTTCATTTCACATACAAAGCCGCAGTGTATGAATAGACATGTGATAACATGTAAAGAATAGTAAGTGTTCGAGGTAAAAAAAAATCAATAGAGTTGTAGCCAGAGAATGGAAAAATTGACTGTGTGGTAAGCACGTTGTAGAATCTTCAAAGAGTAACACACTCTAGAATTTGCTAAAAAAAACAAAACATTTTTTTTGTCAAAAAACCCATTTAATGTTTTGAATGAATAGCGCCCTCTGGAGTTGACTTACCATTAGCATCATCATTGGCTGCTTTCTGTAAATTATCCAAATGTTTTGAGAGTTGCGGTAATTTAATTTGAAGAAGTTGACGGAAGACTGCCATATCCACAGACAAAGCACGCAAATTATTAGCAAAATAACTTTCAGGAAGTACATGGTCTATCAAGTAAATCATCATCTACAAAAAAAACACAAGTTATATTACAAAAAGTGCGAGTACAAATTTCATTTTGTCTGACATTCTACAACATTCAGGAGATACTGGTACAAAAAATGTATGTCCGCAATCTAAATCCAGTCTGCATTACATTATTCAACAATGATAGGTGTAGTTTGTAAAGCATGTTAGATTAATTGCTATTTGTCAGTATCCTCTTCTCATTCTCAAACTTCCCACATGAATCTTCTTTACACAAGTAAAATTTATCAACGCAAAATAGTAATCACTGTGATATTTGTAGAATTATAACCAACTTGAGAATGTAGTAGACTTTCGTTGGGCAAAACAGAAAAAGCTTGATAAAAAAATAATAATAATGATTAATGAGTAACAATTTTTACATGTTATTGTAGCCCCTGCAACACTATCTAAAAATTATGACAACACTAATGTCAACATTAATTACGTCACGTGACTGCTAAATAAACAAAATCCATTGTGTTGCTAATTTTTCACTAATACATGTGTACTAGAAAACCAAAAAAGCCGCTTTTTCTTAAAATCAAAACGTGACGAAAAATGAAAAAAAAAAAAATCACTCTGAAAGTCTACTACATCTTTAAAGGATAACAACAAATTATGATAACTCTTTCAGACACTCCTAATACAGTACACTCCCATGCACTCCTATGCAGGCTATCAGCTGAATGCAACTTTTCAAAAAAGTTGTTTAAAGTGAGTATACCTTTGTCATCTATAATTGCAACATATTTTTTTAATTTATTTTACTGATATAAATCATGTTTTGATTGGTTGCTTTAAACAAATTAGATATATGGTGGTTTTGAAAGGAAAACCAAACAAGGTTTAAACTATCTAAATGTTAAAGCCATATATAGTCGCTTATTTGAATTTCATGTAAACAAACAATGTATTTTACATGCATTGCCTATGCCGCTATCGGTTACATTTAAACATGATGTGGTGCGATGACAGCATCACTTTATGTTATGCTCAGACTGTATTGCAGCATTTGAAGCATCTTTTCCTGAGATTACAGATTTGATATATATTTGTGAACACAAATTAAAGAAACTCCAGGAAATATGCAGAAAAAAATATTTTCAGACAATTACAAAACAATAAAATGAAAATAAAAACATCCATTGCAGCAATATTAATGAATGTCATCCCATAGCTCCATAAATGTCACAGAAAGTCAAAATAAATCAATAAAAAAAAAATACTTTCACACCAATTCAACCCATAATATAAAATCATCAAAATATTTGAAATGATGCCATTTTACAACATACATTATTTATTTCCTTAATGACTAGGTATTGCCTGCAACGATGTAATATCTATGCAAATGTAGAGATAGATGGGCACAGGGGGCACTCTATATTTTGAAGTGTTTTACAGGGGGATAGATGTTTGACATGTGTACATGTGATTTCAACAAGGATGAATATATTGGTGACTTATTTTCCGCATGGAATGCTTATCAGAATTTTTATTTTTACTCACTTTTACATCATGCATAAGATAATTATATTATTATTCCCTAGTATTTTTCTTAGTTCAGCTGGGAAAGATATGAGTGACATATTAAAGAGGTGTATCACTGTGAGTCAAAGATTACTTGTGATGCAGCTCTTATTTCAAGAGTATTCTCCCCAACTGAATGAAGACAAATATTGGAGAATAATAGTATTATCACATGAACAAGTCAAGTTTTTAGTTTCTTGAAATTAAATATTCTGATTATACAAGAAGGCATAAAAACTGAAAAATCATTCATAGCTTCACCAGGCTTGTAGTGCGTCTATTATGGTAGTGTCAACACATTGACACACAACGCATTCCTGGATATTGAACACATTGTTTCAATACAGTGGCAACACACTGGAATGCTAAATACACATTGTTTTTGATTAAAATTATTTTGCAATCAAATGTTTAAATTTGTTTTCTTTAAGTTTAAAAGCAACAACCGCTATTATTATTATTTCCTGACTCTGTTTGCCACATGTCAGGAGGTAGTGAAATGGAAGTCAGTAGAAATAGTTCCATATTCACAGAACATAGAAGACGCAGGGTCAAAAAGAGGTATTTTCCGTTCAATGGATATGACTTTTGCATGTAATACTCTTCATCAGATAATCAGTTACTGATATTAGTCTCAGTAATGTAGTACTAATCCAATATTGTTTATCAGTTAAATTATTATCTTTTTTTTTTTCATTTCCTGTCGGTTGATGTATCTTGCATCAATTTAAGTAGTGACAAAGATTAAATATTTTTTAAAGCTATCTGTTTGACAATTTAGAAATTTCAATAAAAGTTGTTTTGATTTAAGAATCCACTCTATTGTTACTTTTATGACTCTAAAGGCATTTTATATATGTTGAATTTTATGGCATTTGTAAAGACAAAATTTTGTTACGTCACCAACACTCTGTGACTTAGGACCTCAAATAACTTTTCACTGCTTCGACATTTTGAAAAATTCAGCGACTCACAAAATTGTTCTCTTGCAAGATCAAAGCAGTTTACAGTTGTTTGTTTGTTTGTTGTTTCCACAATGAACACAAAGTTAGGAACTGAAAAAAAAAGCTACCAAATTCAGAACTTCTAACAATTACAATTCTAAATATATGAATCTAGCAAAATCACTTGTTCTGGGATGAGTGGGTGTTCACATTATTATAACCAATGTAAGCATATGGCCTTTATTCAGTTGGAAATTAATCTTTGCTTTGTGATCAATTCATACACACAAATGCACATGACATTTGACCTTGCGAAGAATAGACAACATATGGCTGCCTTTGCTGTAATGTATTCTCCTACATAGGGTGTTTCCATGAGTAGCAGGGCTCAACACAGACGTAATGTCAACCCACTGTTGAAAAACATATGTGAACATGACTAAAGCTGTACTGAACGGGCTAGTTCAGCTTGATGTTAGAGGGCTGGTCTTGACCGAAGTTTTGCATTTAACCCTGAAATAAGATACTGTAAAAGGGTTAATTATTCACTGGGTTTTAATTTTGCTTATTTCGCTGACTGAAAAATGCACTAAATTAAAACCCAGTGAATATGTAAAATTTAGCATAGAACACATTATCTAAATGATATATATGCCTGAAATGGTAAATCAGCAAAATTTAAACCCAATGAAAATTAGTAATTTTACAGTACATATAAACAAGGTATCCAGATTAAAACAATGCCCTCTATTAAATGGCGACACAATGGTAGGGGGGATAGGACATAATATGTGTGAATGCTAGAGTAAGTGATCTATTCTGATAGTATATGTGATCATAGGTTATGAAAGCACATGGCAATCGATATCTTAGTAAAACCATGAACAAATATATTGTTGCTATTTTGTTGATTGGTGGATGGGTTAACACAACCAGAAGAGGGTATTTTGTTTATAGTCAAGAAAAGTCCTTTTATTCATTCTCATTCCTTCATCTGTACATCCAATTCTTAAATCCATACATTTATTCTTTCATTCATCCTTCAATCCATCCATCCATCCATCCATATTCATTAATTCAGACAGTCATTTCCAAAACATTGACGCCAAATAGTTTAGGGTCTGGGCATATCAATACGGCAATGTGATAGAATATAATCCACTCCGATGTGAAATGTGAAAACTCATAAAACCTGCACCATACCTGGCATCAAACCACAAACAAACAATTTCAAAACTTAATTCTGTTTTCTTTTGTGAATTTTACTGAATATTCAAACAATGTGTATTGAAAGCTGTCACGGTATACGTATTGAAGTGACGTATATGCTCTGAAATATGGATTAATTTGTTGTTGTCATGTGACATTGACATTTAAGAGTACATCCTGTTGTTGGTATTTGCATCACTGACCTCAAAAAACACAATAATAATAATAATGGCTTGTTTCCTTTTAAAACCCAAAAAAGGCATTGATACATTTTATTATAATGTCGGCAATACCAATTCATAGTCGACCACAGAAATAAGATGACAGAAATTAAATTATATTTTGTATTAATGTTGTTTATCACTTCCAACCAGGGAATCTACGATCAATAATACAATATTTTTAGTTCCAATAATGTGAGAAATTCCAAGATGAAGACTAATGATGCTGTAATTATTTTTTGATTGGATAAAGCTTGAGATGTTTGCGTCAAGACTGCACTTCCAGTCACATGATATAACAGAAATGATAATAAATTATGTAGTTTATGTCTGTATACTGTAAACCGATTTAATTTCATGAGGGACAATTTTGTCACAATGAATGCCATAAATTATTGAATCATCAACATTTCTAGTAGTGAAATAGTATTTCTAGTATTTCAGAGTCAGTTTTTAATTTTCATAAAAGCGACCATTATAGAAATGAAGGTGACATGAACTATCTGAGTGTCTAAATGAAACTGATCTCCAGATTTAGATATCCCAAACACATCATTCCATTTAGCATCTACTGTGCCTCCATGTAAGTCACCTCAAAAATAATGGAGATAAATTCAGACACATTACCCATGGGAATCTTAAAAGCTCTGCTGACTTGCAATTGAATGAATAAATTAATATTTGGTGTGATTTCTGATGTAAGCTATTGGTGTAATTAGATGTCCAAATATGGTAAGTTAATTGTTAAAAAATTAATCTGGTTATCAGCTGACCTTGGTATCAGAATATGGTAATAATAAAATTAATTGTGTCTAAGTGAATATCAAAGAAACACAAAATGATAATGTAGATGAAGATGAACAGAACTGTGAATTCATTGTTGGAAAGTGTTCACATTTTATTATAGGTACAGTTGTAATACTATTTTGACCATCCATCAATCACAGTTTTTCACAAATGAGTAATTACTTTGAAAGTCACCTCAGATTAGGATAAATCTATTAGTAAAACAAACTAAAATAACAGAAATATAATTTATAACATTTATGATATTGAAATAATTTTGCAAAGGTTTTTTTCCAGGCTGAAAAAA